CCAACACTCACACTAACCACCACACACTCAAACAAACACCCAACACTCACACTAACAACACACACACACAGTAACACACACAAACTAACAACACACGACACTTACACTAAACCCACACATAACACCAACACTCAACAGAAACAAACCCACAATCATATAACAACACACCAAACACATCACACTAAACAAACCCACACACTCACACTAAACACCCACAATACTTACAACTAACACCACACACTACACCCAACACTCACATAACAACACCACACACTTACACTAAAAACACTCACACAACACCACAAACTAACAACCCCACACACTAACACAACCAACACCACACAACACCCAACACTAAACACACCTTACACAACACCAACACTAAACCCACACACAACAACAACATCACACACGTAATTAACACCACACACTACACTAACACAACCACACACTACACTAACACCACAACAACACACACACTACACTAACACCACACACTCACACTAACACCCACACACGTACACTAACACCACACACACTACACAACTACAACACCCACAACACCACACAACACCCACACACTACACTAACAACCACACACGTACACTAACACCCACACACGTAACACATAACACCCACACCCCACACTAAAACCAACCTACACTAACACCCACACACACACACCCACACATACACCAACACCCACACACTACCACATACACCACACACTACACTAACACCCACCACTACACTAACACCCACACACGTACACTAACACCCACACACACACAACACCCCACACTACACTAACACCCCACACTCACACTAACACCCACACACTACACTACACCCCCCACTCAACTAACACCCACACACTACACAACACCCACACACTCACACTAACACCCACACACTCACTAACACCCACACACTTACACTAACACCCACACACTTACACTAACACCCACACACTCACACTAACACCCACACACTTACACTAACACACTCATACTAACACCCACACACAGTACACTAACACCCACACACGTACACTAACACCCACACACGTACACTAACACCCACACACTCACACTAACACCCACGCACTTACACTAACACACTCATACTAACACCCACACACTCACACTAACACCCACACACGTACACTAACACCCACACATGTACACTAACACCCACACACGTACACTAACATCCACACACTTACCCTTAGATACACACACTTACCACCACGCCCACTCCCACCCAACAATTATGCTGCTCCCATACTGGTGATGTCACCAGGCAGGCCAAAACTCAATCCCACCAAAACAGGCAGAAATTTCAGCCGGTATACTCTTACACTAAATGGTCATAATCATTCATCAATTTCACAGTATTATTGTAACCTCATAGTGTGGAAATGTATATAACACACAGGACAATCAAGTGTCTGACTTCACTGGGCCTTTAAGCATTCCACTGTACTTGTGCATGTGACAAAAAAAAAAAAAAAAAAAACTTGAAGATGGACTCAATGAATTAGCCTCTATAATGAATTTGAGAATGATTAGTTGCTGCATTCAAAGTCGGCCACACTACACCACTAGATGGCACCATATTACGGAACCATATTACACCAGGGTTATAAGAAGTGAAGCGATGGACATGAGGCCATGACATTTGGCATGTAAACATTATGTTTATGTCCTTAGAAGCTGAGTGAATATAAAGTCACTACAACTTTAGATGGCTGCACCAGACCAGTTGGTGGCGCTATAGATGTCATTGGCACCAATTGATCAAGTGGATTTTGTTCCATGCAAATGAATGTTAGATTTCAATAACGCAGATGAACAATGTGAAATATTGTGAAAATAATGCAGATAATATTTCACAAATCATAACATTAGTCAAATTGACCCCAGAATTGGTATATAAATGCAATACATTAAGTAATTACTTTAAGAATGATTACCTGCTTCATTCAAAGATAACCAACCTACATCACTAGACTAAACTTAACTTACGTCGTTCTTGAGAGATAAACATGGTAATGTTTGATACTGATTGCACATAAAGGAAGATAGTTCCTACATGATCGAGCGCTTGCTTTGTTATCTACCTGATCTGGTCCTTTATGTCATCCTATGAACCCCGTTCATTGCTGCTCGCAACTATATTTGTTATGGATATATTTTCCTTGAGTGAAATATTTCATAATGCATCACATTGACATTGTATCTGAGTGTTTTACCATGTGCCCTAGCTGGTGCATTTGAGTAATTAGAAAAAGTGAGTTTTTAATCTTTTTTAATGTTTTCTCTCTGATGAAGGGCTTAATCCCTGCCACATGTCCAAATGCTTAAATATCAGATCAATGACCAAGTCACATAAATTCAAGGCACAGCATTTTTTGGTATTTCATGCACAAAAACCAAATTAAATTTAAAGCATCTGTCAGTAATGAGGCTTGATGAAAAAGTATGGCGTGTTTGTGTCAGTGTGTGTGTGTGTGTGTGTGTCAGTGTGTGTGTGCATGTTTGTGTGTTTATGCATGTGTGTATTGCTAAAAGTGTCTATGTGTGTGTGTGTGTGTCTATGTGTGTGTGTGTGTGTCTATGTGTGTGTGTGTGTGTGTGTGTGTGTGTGTGTGTGTGTGTGTGTGTGTGTGTGTGTGTGTAATTAAAACAAGTGATTTTTTTTACACACAGATTATCCCTGTTTTCCAGCTGGTCCTACTGGATTTGACCACAGAGGAAATCTCTTTGGGGATAAATCCAAATTGGCTCCCCTTGTGAATATTTTTTTTCCAAACCCTAAAAAATTTTGGAGGGTTCATATATTAACTCGAACCCAACCTCCATATCTAAATACTGTACGTTTTACATAACACTTTATCTCTGCTTTTATCAAAGTGAGTACGAGAAGGATAATGAACGCAGTCAAACCTAACCTAAAGAGAATAATGAAAATAGCCCAATGTCAAGTGATTCAATAGGAGTGACGGAGAAACACCAAATTTTAAAAAAATGTGTCTTTCTTTTCTATATTTCTTCATCATTTTTTTTGGGGGGGGGAATTAAACCTCGTAGCTTGATTTAATTTCCTCACAGTAAGTATTTTTGTTTTGACGTTTTGTTTATTCTACAGTGGCCACGCTTCACTTCACGCTCAACCTACGTCTTCTACATGCATTTTCCAGCATTATCCACAAAGCATCACAGACCAATGGGACTTGCAAGGGCAGTTAGTCTCTCAGCCACAGTATATAAAAGGAGGGTTGCAAATGTGCACAGCTGTTGGGTTTTTCCATACACACGGACGGGGAGTGGCTAGGGATTTAACTGCTGTGACGCCTGGAAACCCCTGTCCCCTATTGAGGTCATTGCAGTTAACTGGTTTTCACTGTGAAAACAGACAAGAGACAGTCATTGGTCTTGATTTGGACCTGAAGACACAGGGTTCAGGTTATTCTCTCCGCACAAAATAACATACTGTATTTTGAGTTTGATCGTGAGTTAGTGTAACCTGTCACAAACTGTCACAAACTGTCACAATCTGTCTCAAACTGTCACAAACTGTCACAAACTGTCAAAAAACTGTAGATCTGTCAAATAGAAAAGGCAAGAGGGATAAAACCAGTGAATTTTAAATAAATAATTTCTGATATATGCAGAAATGTTGTAATTATTGTAGGCTGTAAAGTGTAAAAAGTAAAATAGGATAGAAAACAATAGTGTACCATTTGTTAACTAGCTGTTACAAAATGAAAACTCCCAACTATGGAAAAAATATTTTATTATTGTTTGATATAGTGATTACCTACTTAAATGTAATACGGAAAACAGGTTTTCAAGGAAGTATCTTATCATCTTTCATTTAAAAAGAATGAATACAGTTGTATACACATCATTTGATTGCTCTGGCTATGATCCCCATATTTGTGGACTGTCATTGAGATAACCTTAAAATATAAATACATTATAAAAGTTAGATACAAATGTTTGACATGCCATGCCCCCCATAAATAATATAAATAAATAATATGCCATTTAGCAGACGCTTTTATCCAAAGCGACTTACAGTCATGCGTGCATACATTTTTTTTTGTGTATGCCCATAACTCTTTACGCAGGTCAATATAACATATGTTTGTAATGCATATTTCTACTCCCATCTAGTTCCACAGGTCAAATTTAAATGGTTAAAGGGGACTAAGTGTGCAGATGACAGACAACCAATATCAGGCACATTATGCTGCAGTCACTACTACACACAGCCCTTCACCATTGGGGTTTTGATATACCGATCATACAATAAACTCAATTTAGTGCATAACATATACATATAAACTATACACTTCTGACCAATTAATGTGGTCTTTACCATATTAACTCATTGGTTAGAAAAGAACAACAATATTGTCCTGGAATATCCACTAATAAGAAAATATACTTAATATACTTTTTCATAAATATAATTTTAGCAAATCAAGCTGCCATTTTCTATAATAAAGATAGAGTTCATCATCTGTATCAAAACGAGAACCAGATCTAAACTCTCCATATTTATCCATAAAACAAAACAACTTCAAAATGTTATACCAGATCTGATTGATTGTCATTTACACTTACTGATTAACCATTGTGACAGAATATATGAAATCACACATTTTTATGAAGTATATAAGTATATATTTTTTAAACTTTCTTTTCTTTTACTTTGGGTACAGCTTATTATACATTTTAGTGGAATCACCATCTTCAAAGTGGTGCCTGGGTTTCTAAACATTATTAATACATATATCATATGATTGTTGATTGACAACGAGGGTCTGATATAAATAATAAAAAAGCAATATTTGCATTTTACCATGAAATTCCTGGGTATTTTCTGCTATAAAAATGTTCATCTTGTACCGAGAGAGTTGTTTGAGCTATGATACTGTACATGTTGTAAACAAAACAACAACAAAAAACAAGTTTCCTGAAAACAATATCTCAAAGAAATGTCTCTTCAAATGTTTGTGAGGGGCTAAGTTCCCTATATGTTTGTGAGGGGCTAAGTTCCCTATATGTTTGTGAGGGGCTAGGCTCCCTGAGTTCTAACACTAAGTCTCTCGGCCTTTCTAGCCGTTCTATCTGACCAAGGTCACTAGCCGCCCCCGGCCGGGTCAAACTGTCATAAGATGGAGGCGAGGAGGACAGAGTCCCTTCCATGACCCCCATGACCTCTACCAGCTCCTCCTCCTCGTTGGCCCCCTCGGGGCCGTAGTGTTCTTTTATCATGGCGGCGATGAGGCCCTCCCTCTCCGGGGCCCTCTCTATGTCCACCACTATGTGCTCCTGCAGGTTCAGGTTGGTCTGAAGGTTCATCTGTCTGTACAGGAAGGAGGCCTGCTTCATCTGCCGTTTCACCAGGTGGCGTCTGTAACAGCGTTGGATGATGATGGCCGACACGTCTTCCTGCTTGCGGCGTAGAGTCGTAGTGATTGGTTCGTGGGAGATCTTGGACGGGTTGGCCATCATGAACTTCTCCTCCATCTGCTGCTTGAGGGCGTCCATCTCGCCTGAATCGCCCAGCACGCGCTTGGTGAAGGCGAACAGGATGTCCAGGCAGTGGATCTTGTCCCCGCTCACCATCGGCAGGTCCATAGAGATCAGCTTGATCTTGTTGGGTTTGGCGATGCGCAGCGGCTCCGACAGGTTGTCCGCGAAATTCGACAGCTTCGAGAACTCGATGAACTGGGTGGCCTCTGCGTCGAACTTCTCCCAAACCTCGTAGAACATCTCAAAGTCGTCCTCGCTCAGCGGCTCGGTGCTCTCCTCGGTGGCCACGCTGAAGTTCTCCAGGATGATGGCTATGTACATGTTGACCACGATGAGGAAAGAGATGATGATGTAACTGACGCAGAAGGCGATCGCCACAGACGGGTTGCCACAGTTGCCCCTAACGTTGGTGCCGGTGTTGACGACGTAGGCTTCACACTCCTCTGGGGAGTTGGACATGATGGGCTCCAGGACGTTGTCCCACCCGGCAGATGTGCTGATCTGGAACAGGCAGATCATACTATTCCCAAAGGTCTCGAAGTTGAACATGTCATCTATCCCTTCTTTCTTTTTCACATAGGCGAAGTTGGCCATTCCGAAGATAGCGTATATGAACATTACGAGGAAGAGCAGGAGGCCGATGTTGAACAACGCTGGCATGGACATCATTAAGGCAAACAGTAAAGTCCTTATTCCTTTGGCCCCACGTATCAGTCGAAGTACGCGTCCTATCCTTGCCAGTCTGATGACACGGAACAGAGTCGGAGATACAAAGTACTTCTCAATGATGTCAGCCAGAACGATACCTGCAAGTGTTGAAATCAGAAATGAAGAAAACAACACCAACAGCAAATTAAAAGACAAAACATTTGATGACCTTTACATGAAATGTACATTCGGGAAATTTTACGCATGGCATAGATCACTTGTCAGAAATATATATAGGTTGTTTTGAAGGTTGTTTTCAGGGTTATATTGAGGGTTGTTTTCAGGGTTGTATTGTTCCACCCACCCACGATAGAGAGAATGATGACCACAAAGTCAAAGATGTTCCATCCCACGGTGAAGAAATAGCAGCGAAGCGCCACGATCTTCATGAGGCATTCGGTGGTGAAGATGACGATGAATATCTGTATGATAAAGAGACGGGACACCATTATGTTATCTTCAGGAACATATGTACTAGGATAAAACAGGATACGTTGTACAGAGAATTATGGGTACTGTAGTACTAGTACATGATGCTACAGAACAAAGGTGGTGGATAAATGAAGATCAGGCCATTTACCATTGGAAAAAATGTTCAGTTCCTTTCTACTTAAGGGGGTGGCACTCCCATAGACACCAATGCAATAGCAGCTGGGTCTGGTCTACATAGTTCATTGACTTCCATTGAAACAGAAAAAATGAGGGAGTGGGATGTCTCACTTCCTCTTCCGTCTCTGCTACAGACCATCTTGTTGAGGATGGACTCTGTGAGCATTATGCGTACTGTAGTACATCACACACAGAGTATTATGGGTACTGTAGTACACCATACACATAGCATTATGGGTACTGTAGTACATCATACACAGAGCATTATGGGTACTGTAGTACTAGTGCATCATGCTACAGACCAGGTTGATCTTGTTGAGAATGGACTCCATGCGGGCGGACTGATCGTCTGTCTCCACCATCATGGTCACCATGTTGACGATGATCAGCATCATAATCATGATGTCAAAGGCTTGCTTGGACACCAGGTCGAATAAGAAGCCTTGGAAGATATTCTGGAGAGTAGATAGATGGAAGGATGTCATGGATCCATTAACGCCATGTAGGCTATCCATAAAGTTTACATCGCTCGAATCTCATTCAGGTTCATTCAAAAATGTATTTATAAAACAATGTTTGAGTACATATTAGATCCACTGTCATGTTTGTCATAGTTCCTCAAAGTTTGTATTTTACCGTATGTCTTGGTATAGGCTTATCATAGTTGATATTTGACCGTATGTCTTGGTGTAGGCTTATCATAGTTGATATTTGACCGTATGTCTTGGTATAGGCTTATCATAGTTGATATTTGACCGTATGTCTTGGTATAGGCTTATCATAGTTGATATTTTACCGTATGTCTTGGTATAGGCTTATCATAGTTGATATTTTACCGTATGTCTTGGTATAGGCTTATCATAGTTGATATTTTACCGTATGTCTTGGTATAGGCTTATCATAGTTGATATTTTACCGTATGTCTTGGTATAGGCTTATCATAGTTGATATTTTACCGTATGTCTTGGTATAGGCTTATCATAGTTGATATTTTACCGTATGTCTTGGTATAGGCTTATCATAGTTGATATTTTACCGTATGTCTTGGTATAGGCTTATCATAGTTGATATTTTACCGTATGTCTTGGTATAGGCTTATCATAGTTGATATTTTACCGTAGGTCTTGGTATAGGCTTATCATAGTTGATATTTTACCGTATGTCTTGGTATAGGCTTATCATAGTTGATATTTTACCGTATGTCTTGGTATAGGCTTATCATAGTTGATATTTTACCGTAGGTCTTGGTATAGGCTTATCATAGTTGATATTTTACCGTATGTCTTGGTATAGGCTTATCATAGTTGATATTTTACCGTATGTCTTGGTATAGGCTTATCATAGTTGATATTTTACCGTATGTCTTGGTATAGGCTTATCATAGTTGATATTTTACCGTATGTCTTGGTATAGGCTTATCATAGTTGATATTTTACCGTATGTCTTGGTATAGGCTTATCATAGTTGATATTTTACCGTAGGTCTTGGTATAGGCTTATCATAGTTGATATTTTACCGTATGTCTTGGTATAGGCTTATCATAGTTGATATTTTACCGTAGGTCTTGGTATAGGCTTATCATAGTTGATATTTTACCGTATGTCTTGGTGTAGGCTTATCATAGTTGATATTTTACCGTAGGTCTTGGTATAGGCTTCTCAGGCTTTTTAGAGCCTATTTTCTTCATAGCGTTGTAGTACTTCCGCTGCTCGTCAGTCATGAAAATGTCTTGTCCACCTAAGTATAACAATGCATTCAACATTATTCTTCACTGTTACAATGTTGCACAATATATACATCACAGGAGGTTGGTGCCACCTTCATTGGGGAGGACGGGCTCGTAGTAATGGCTGGAGCGGAATAGGTAAAATGGTATCAAATACATCAAACACATGGTTTCCATGGTTTCCAGGTGTTTGATGCCATTCCATTTGCTCTCTTCCAGCTATTATTATGAGCTGTCCTCCCCTCAGCAGCCTCCGCTGATATCCATACAGACAGCTGTTAATGTTGTATATATCCATACAGACAGCTGTTAATGTTGTATATATCTATACAGACAGCTGTTAATGTTGTATATATCCATACAGACAGCTGTTAATGTTGTATATATCCATACAGATAGCTGTTAATGTTGTATATATCCATACAGACAGCTGTTAATGTTGTATATATCCATACAGACAGATGTTAATGTTGTATATATCCATACAGATAGCTGTTAATGTTGTATATATCCATACAGACAGCTGTTAATGTTGTATATATCCATACAGACAGCTGTTAATGTTGTATATATCCATACAGACAGATGTTATTGTTGTATATATCCATACAGACAGCTGTTAATGTTGTATATATCCATACAGACAGCTGTTAATGTTGTATATATCCATACAGATAGCTGTTAATGTTGTATATATCCATACAGACAGCTGTTAATGTTGTATATATCCATACAGATAGCTGTTAATGTTGTATATATCCATACAGACAGCTGTTAATGTTGTATATATCCATACAGATAGCTGTTAATGTTGTATATATCCATACAGACAGCTGTTAATGTTGTATATATCCATACAGACAGCTGTTATTGTTGTATATATCCATACAGACAGCTGTTAATGTTGTATATATCCATACAGACAGCTGTTAATGTTGTATATATCCATACAGATAGCTGTTAATGTTGTATATATCCATACAGACAGCTGTTAATGTTGTATATATCCATACAGATAGCTGTTAATGTTGTATATATCCATACAGACAGCTGTTAATGTTGTATATATCCATACAGATAGCTGTTAATGTTGTATATATCCATACAGACAGCTGTTAATGTTGTATATATCCATACAGATAGCTGTTAATGTTGTATATATCCATACAGACAGCTGTTAATGTTGTATATATCCATACAGACAGCTGTTAATGTTGTATATATCCATACAGACAGCTGTTAATGTTGTATATATCCATACAGACAGCTGTTAATGTTGTATATATCCATACAGACAGCTGTTAATGTTGTATATATCTATACAGACAGCTGTTAATACAACAGTGCGAAATGAGTAAGTGAGACAGAAAACAACATGTACTTATCTTTCTTTTTTGCTGGTTGAAATTATCAATGATGACGCCGATGAAAAGGTTGAGAGTGAAGAAGGACCCGAAGATGATGAAGATGACGAAGTAGAGGTACATGTAGAGGTTGATTTCCCTGATGGGCTGCTCTTCCACCTGTAAACAAACAAACACATTTTAGTTGATCCCATTTTCATCTTTTCATAAATAAAAATGTAGGTCTACTCATTCTATTTATGAGATGACGAATTTGCCTAGATTTGTGGAACGAGATTGATACGTACGCCACGTGAATCAACAGCTGCATGCATAACTTCCATCCATCCTTTAAACGTGGCCTTAAAGGAAATGAACATCATTGACACAATTATAGGGTAAGCCTTTTTTTTTTATAATAAAAAAATGTTACTTCATTTATCGACAAACAATAAGAGCTATGGCATCCTTTCAAACACATAACTTCCTAAAAAAACAAAAAAAATGTAAAACAGTCATTTTTATTTTTATTTTTTAAAGACAAGAGAAAAACTGACCACTTGCAGCAGTGAGAGGTATCCTAGTCCCACGTTGTCGAAGTTGACCTTGACTTTAGTCCAGTAAAACTGAGTGTCATTCATGGCCAGGCACTCAGACTTGTTGTTGACGACGGAGGCGTTGTGGATGAACCCCGTCCGGTTCACACATTTACCAAACTTCCCTGCAAACAGGTTGACGCCCATGATGCTGAAGATGAGCCAGAAGATCAGGCAGACCAGCAGGACGTTCATGATGGACGGGATGGCTCCAATCAGAGCGTTCACCACCACCTGGTGACCAAGACGACAACACACAGAGACGTTGTAGAGGTTGTCTACTACGGAGCACAGGCACAGCATATAAATGATGTTTAATGATTAGGGGACTGGAGTTTTTTTTCTCCTGACGAAGTGACTAGCCCAGTGATCAAGGTAATACTCCACCGTTAGAGGCTGTCTGTCACTTCAGTCATAGACGGATATGATATAGGACCGCAAGTTTTTTCCCGATCACGTGACCAGCTTAGGAAAAAACTCTGGTCCTTCACTGATGATAATAATTTGTGGAATCTCCTAGAATAACTTGACAATAGGTCACCTATGTAAAAAGCAGGGAAAGTAGAACGTCTCTAAGGAAGAAAAAAAATAAACGAAAGGGTAAAGTCAGTGTAACAGAAGAATGTCTCACCCGCATGCCCTCGAATCTGGACAGGGCCCGTAGGGGCCTCAGTGCTCGGAGGGTCCTCAGTGATTTGATAGCAGCGAAGTCAGAGTAGCCCAGAGAGTTGGCTACCAGGCTCACCAACGACACCTGGAGAGGACACACAGAGACATTCAATCAGCTCAGACTTAGATGACAGTACAAACTCAATTTTTCAAAAGGAGGAGACCTCAGCATCACTCTTGAACACCTTTTGATAAAGATTGTGGGTTTTGCAATTTATGAGCAAGTATCAAAGTACAAAATGTGGGATCCCCTGTCTGTAAGAGCCCACCTCAACCCCAATTCCCCACCATTATCCACACGCAGATGCAGGACTATGCACGTACACACGCACACACACACACACACACACACACACGCACACACGCACACACGCACACACTCAAACCTACCACCTAAGTTGTATGATACAATATATATTTCAGTTAAGTCACTGACAACCTTTCATCAAATAAAAAGATCAAATAAAACAAAGCTCTACAGACATAAATCACGAATCAAATCATTTCCGGAGAGAAAAACATACAGGAAGAGTAGCAACAGAGTAACAGACAGTGAGACAAGAATTTCAGAGCCAACACTCTAGAGACCGTAGCAGTGCAATACTTTGGGACATTCTACAGTTAGGAACACAATTAATTAATTTAGAGTAATTTAGAATTTTTTGTTTTGTTTTGTGGCATCTTTTTCATTACATTTTTTTTTTTTTTTTACTTCCACTCTATTCTACATCCAAAATGGACAAAACAGAATGGTATTCCGCTGTTGAATGGCCCGAGGGTGATAGCTGTGATTCAAAATGGCACGATGGATGGTCCATGGATGAGAGGTATTACTGGTAGAATGACTGGGAATGGAACAGGGACAAAATACATACAGGTATGCAATATGTACAATCAATGCACATGCATACATACTCAGCTATATATACATAAGAACTATGTATATATGTGAAATAGAGTGAGGTTTTATAAAGAAGTTTAACAAAATGTTCAATTCTCCTTTTTTATAAACTAATGGTATTGCCAAATTTGATTGCCCAACTTGCATTAGTATGATCCAATTAAGTCATCATTCGTATGATCCAATTAAGTCCGTAATTGCAATTTAGTGCTATTACAGTCCCAATAATTTCTTTATAAAAGTATATTTTTATGGATTTCGTCCAATATATCTAAAGAAGATACTCAGAAAAATGAAATACGCTGATAAAGAACACGTCTTTGGCTCCATGAAAGTACACACAACAAAACAAACATCAGAAGGCTAGAGAGTTGATATAGAAACCAGAAACCAGAAATAGTGTTTAAACAATCCTTGATTCTCCTCCATTTATCATTTCTGCAATCATATACAGTCTTAAACTAACCCACCCACACATCCAAAAATAATATAATCCTCTCCAACTCTGCTATCCAGCTAGATACACTGTGGATGGATAGATAGATAGATAGATAAGATAGATAGATAGATAAGATAGATAGATAGATAGATAGATAGATAAGATAGATAAGATAGATAGATAGATAGATAGATAGATAGATAGATAGATAGATAGATAGATAGATAGATAGATAGATAGATAGATAGATAGATAGATAGATAGATAGATAGATAGATAGATAGATAGATAGATAGATCGATCCACCTCAGCTCCAGCTAACTACTGACCCATATATTATAGCATATTGCTGAGATAGCAAAACTACAGAGCAAAACATTTATTGAAATTCTACCTACACTGTTCAAAATGGTCTAAACAACTTTAATTCAGTCTGTTGATAACCTATGAGGAACTATGAAATACAATAGTCCAATAATACATTCGATCTTCTCCAGATAAACCTTAGAATACATGGTAGTACGTTGCTATTTGATATAAAAGCCAAGGTCCGTCGTGCATTTTTAACGATCAAGTGGATGAAAAAAAAAAAAAAACATATTTGCTTTGAATACATTTTCTGCTGAAAAAGACAATTGCTGTTTAGATTTGAAAAGTAGACGAGACGGTGGCTTTTGATATCTCAATGTGAAGCACTTACAAGTGAGGAAACATAAAAGCTTTATTGAAGCAGCAGCTTTTCCAACCTGGATCCAATACTCACCTTCCACCTCACAACTACCACTTACCCTAACAGCTGCTATAGACACGTCTGTGCCGATCTGTGAACCAGCGGGCGAAATCAGAGGAAGCAAGGTAAGGTAAGGGAGATACAGTTGAAGTCGGAAGTTTACATACACCTTAGCCAAATACATTTAAACTCAGTTTTTCACAATTCCTGACATTTAATCCTAGTAAAAATTCCCTGTCTTAGGTCAGTTAGGATCACCACTTTATTTTAAGAATGTGAAATGTCAGAATAATAGTAGAGATTTATTTCAGCTTTTATTTCTTTCATCACATTCCCAGTGGGTCAGAAGTTTACATACACTCAATTAGTATTTGATAGCATTGCCTTTAAGTTGTTTAACTTGGGTCAAACATTTCGGGTAGCCTTCCACAAGCTTCCAACAATAAGTTGGGTGAATTTTGGCCCATTCCTCCTGACAGAGCTGGTGTAACTGAGTCAGGTTTGTAGGCCTCCTTGCTCGCACACGCTTTTTCAGTTCTGCCCACAAATGTTCTATAGGGTTGAGGTCAGGGCTTTGTGATGGCCACTCCATTACCTTGACTTTGTCGTCCTTAAGCCATTTTTCCACAACTTTGGAAGTATGCTTGGGGTCATTGTCCATTTGGAAGAACAATTTGCGACCAAGCTTGAGATGTTGCTTCAATATATCCACATAATTTTCCTTCCTCATGATGCCATCTATTTTGTGAAGTGTACCAGTCCCTCCTGCAGCAAAGCACCCCCACAGCATGATGCTGCCACCCCCGTGCTTCACGGTTGGGATGGTGTTCTTTGGATTGCAAGTCCCCCCCCTTTTCTTCCAAACATAACAATGGTCATTATGGCCAAACAGTTCTATTTTTGTTTCATCAGACCAGAGGACATTTCTCCAAAAAGTACGATCTTTGTCCCCATGTGCAGTTGCAAACCGTAGTCTGGCTTTTTTATGGTGGTTTTGGAGCAGTGGCTTCTTCCTTGCTGAGCGGCCTTTCAGGTTATGTCGATATAGGACTCGTTTTACTGTGGATATAGATACTTTGGTACCCGTTTCCTCCAGCATCTTCACAAGGTCCTTTGCTGTTGTTCGGAGATTGATTTGCACTTTTCGCACCGAAGTACATTCATCTATAGGAGACAGAACGCGTCTCCTTCCTGAGCGGTATGACGGCTGCGTGGTCCCATGGTGTTTATACTTGTGTACTATTGTTTGTACAGATGAACGTGGTACCTTCATGGGTTTGGAAATTGCTCCCAAGGATGAACCAGACTACCAGACCCAACCAACAAGAGTTCTCTAGGTCAGGGCGTGACAGTAACCCCCCCCAAAGGTGCGTACTCCGGCCGCACCAACCTGACTCATTAGAGGAGGGTCCGGGTGGGCATTCAGCCTCGGAGGCGGTTCTGGCTCCGGGCGTGACGACCTCTCCCTCTCTGCCTCCCCGTTGCACCCCTGGTCTGGTCTGGACCTCGGCGCGATGCTTCCCCTCTCCTTCCTCCCATGATGCACCAAGCCCTGTCTGGACCCTGGTGTGGGAGACCCCGACCCTGGAGAGGGGCTGACGTCTGAGCCTGGAGTGGAGCCGCTGACCGGAGCTGAACTGGACCCCGGTGGAGCGGACTACTCTGGCTCCGGAGTGGATCCGCTGACCGGAGCTGGACTGGCACCGGTGGAACAGACTGCTCTGGCTCCGGAGTGGAACCGCTGACCGGAGCTGAACTGGACCCCGGTGGAGCGGACTGCTCTAGCTCCGGAGTGGAGCAGCTGACCAGAGCTGGACTGGGAACACGCACCACTGGTCTGGTGCGGGGAGCAGGTACGGGCCGTACCGGGCTGGCGACAGGCATCACTGGTTTGGTGCGAGGAGCAGGCACAGGCCGTACCGGGCTGTGGAGGCGCACTGGAGGTCTGGAGCATAGAGCTGGCATAACCCGTCCTGGCTGGATGCCCACTTCCACACGGTACGTGTGTGGCGTTAGCACAGGACGCACTGGGCTGTGCACGCGTACTGGAGACACATTACGTAGAACCGGCGCAGGATATGCTGGACCGAGGAGGCGTACTGGAGACCAGGAGCGTTGAGCCGGCACAACCCGTCCTGGCTGGATGCCCATTTTCACACGGCACGTGCGTGGCGCTAGCACAGGACGCACTGGACTGTGCAGTATCTCCGCATAACACGGAGCCTGCACGGTCACACGCTTCTTAGCGTGAATACGGGGAGTTGGCTCTGCTCTGAACCCTGGCTCCGCCAACCACCCCGTGTGCCCCCCAATTTCTTTTTTCCTGGGGCTGCTTCTCGGGCTTTCTTCATGACCGAGTCCTTTTAAGTCGCCGTTTCTCCTCCCTTGCTGCCTCTGTCTGCTCCCAAGGAAGGCGATCCATCCCAACCGGGATCTCTTCCCATGTCCATGATCCCTTACCATTTAATATCTCCTCCCAAGTCCATGATTTCTGCTCCTCCTGGGCACGCTACTTGGTCCATTGTTTGGTGGGATCTTCTGTCACGGTCGTTGAGAGACGGGTCAGACCAAGGTGCAGCGTGGTATGCATACATGTTTATTAAGACGAATAAACACTTGACAAAATAACAAAACAATGAAAACGTGAAGTACTATGGGCTATACACACAACAAGCCTAACAGGAACACAAACAAGATCCCACAACTAAGGTAGGCAACACGGCTGCCTAAGTATGATCCCCAATCAGAGACAACGAGCGACAGCTGCCTCTGATTGGGAATCACACCCGGCCAAACATAGATATACAAATCACATAGACCTCAACTGAAACTCACACCCTGACCCAACCAACAAGAGTTCTCTAGATCAGGGCGTGACACTTAGCCTATCAGAAGCTTCTAAAGCCATGACATCATTTTCTGGAATTTTTCAAGCTGTTTAAAGGCACAGTCAACTTAGTGTATGTAAACTTCTGACCCACTGGAATTGTGATACAGTGAATTATAAGTGAAATA